TAAGGAGTTGGTCTAACCTATGGCGATTGGTTAGATCTCCGCCTTTAAGCATAGATCGTTTAAATGCTTCGTAGGGTTGAGAAACATCACTAGTAAACAAGCTAGGTGTTACGTACCTGTTGAATTCGCGCGGTAGTGCCTTGACTACTGCGAGGAACTGTGCACGCGTGTCGTTGACGCCGTGCTCATGGAAGTTAGCCTCTGCATAACAGAACCAGGCTTCGATGTTGTCTGGTCAAAAGAGCATTAGTTGGAACGAAAGTAGGAACAGACTCACAGTTTGAGATTTGGTGTATCAGATCAAGCTAGGTTCAACAATGAAGATGCCATAGGTATTTGGAGGTTGACAACGCTTTAACCAGTGAGTCGTATCCAACAAGTGAAATCAAAAGATAGAAGCGAGGAGCTTCGAAGGTATAGTTGATAGGCTATCAAAATATCGAGGATCGACTGATCTAATCTGGCCAGCGATTGTAAGGGATGTTGAGCACGGCGTTCACACTCGTGACATGGTACGAATGCATGACCGAGCGCCCTCAACTAGGTGAATCCATTAAGACTAATGTGGTCGGCATCCAATGTCGAAGACTTACAGATCCATTGATTTTGGGGATTTATTTGCCGCTACAGTATAGAGCGAAGGGTCACCGGTCGGTAGCTTGAAGGTTTACTGAGTCGAAATCCTTTGAAAATTGGTGTGATATGATCCAGCTTCCAAATTTCTAGTTGTTTGCCTCGGCTTAGCGAGTATAAGGACCTCACACCAAACGTTGTTGCCAGGATTCAAGCTGCTTCCGTCAGTATAGCAGAATGAATCATATTCGGGCCGGGAGAAGTGTTTTTTCTTAGATGCTGCAGTTTCTAGTACACCAACTCGGCGCTTACGTGCACTTCGGAAGGTCCTTAGCAATTGCCGATGAAGCTCTCATCAATATAAATAATGTGGGTCGGTTGCACTGTCCGAGAGTATTGTTCAACCAAAAGGTCAGCGGCGTTACCGTCGTTTTCGGTCGAGCCATTAGAACCTAGCAGTTGAGAAACTCCAGTTTTGGTTTGTCGAAGAGAGGCTGTATAACGGAATACGCTCTTCGGATTGGAGATAAATTTATCGGTAAACTTTATCTGGTACTGAAGCATTTTTTCTATTATTGCTTTTGTTCATTTGTTCCTTATATGTTCGTACCGTCTGTATGCCCCGTTGTTATTAGTTCGTTTGTATTCTGCCCAACAGTGCCTTTTGCGACTTAGCAAACGAAGAGTGCGGTTATTGATGACTGTAGGTCGCTTGTAGATTTTGGGCACCATTTGAAGAATAAATTGCTTTGTACCACATAAGAGCGTGTGCAGTAAGAAATTCCAAAGAGCTTACACATCAAGTTTAGGGTAAACATCCCAACCCACTGGTTGTAGATAGTCCTGTAAAGCTGACACATTCAACCGTTTGAAATTCCAGAGAATGATGTTGGTGGGATGTCTTAGCTCACTTCCGCTGATAAATACCCAGTCTAGGCGTAACGGCGTCTGACTGTTTCTCCAACGAGTTGCCGATTTCACATTTTCGAATAATCCCAGATCCTCAATGAAGTTGAAGAACCGAGTTTCAGTTAAGTTTTTACTTCCAATAAGCGTATTTCCCGTGAAATTGACTTTGGGAAGATTGAAGTTCCCTAGAATCAGGGTGTGAGTGAATCTGAGACGCGTAGAGCCTGAAAATCCTTTCAGAATGCGATTGTCACACGATGTCAGCAGTGGGCTTCCTGTAGATGACCCCAACTAGACATTTCAAGCTGGTAGAAAATCTTATTGAGCACCAAACGGATACACCAAGATTGATAAATTCTTAGTTGTGCACTTGATGCGTCTCCAGGCAAAATCGCAAGTATAAGGCTACTTCATCACTCATTCCTGTTTTCGTATCATTGCGAAACAAAGACATCCCCGATGTTACTAGTTCCTGGTCCGTAAACTGAGAAAATGTTTCAGATATTCTCATCAGATGAGTATTATTAGCATTACTGAGTTCACGCAGCTCATCTATTCCATTCAGCAAACTCGCGGCGTTCATATATAAGAAGTTTATGTTTTCAATTTGAAATGCATGAGCTTCCTTTTCCTGTTCATCTGTATGAGCCTTGTGTGAATGGACAGGTAGTCTACAGGACAGTAACCTACACAAGATTTTCCGAGTTGGAAACCATTGTACTTTAAGTTTTCTTGTGATCTAGACAGTCCAGAAGTGGAACGGTCGGCTTCAACTTGCTTTTGTAATTGATTCTGGCATCATCTGGCCCATCTGGGTGCAGATGGATTCAAGTTGGCAAACAACACCTGTTGACACGAAGTGCATCCCGAGTTTTAGCCGCCACATGTGAGGATGAGAAAGTTATCTTCCTTCGCGGGGGTCTAGAATCTCCGTCTTTCTTGGCCAGTCCCACTGTTTGTTGAGTCAATATGTTTTTGAGCTCAAAGGACTACTTGATGAATTTCCATTCCCAAATATAAGAGTTTGTGTGGTCACGGTACGTGATTTCACGTACAATGATATTTCATCAGCGGAAAAAATTCTCACGAGATTCCTTAGGGATGTTCCTTATGAGGTTGCGCTCAGAATATGGTATGTCAGACAGTATTCTTACGTTCCCATGTGATTTCAGTAAGTGACTAGCTAGTAGGATATCCTCTACATCGGTAGCACTAGTGAGTGTTACACGAAGTAGCCTTGGGTGATTTTGATGCTTAGATTCCTTTCCCCGAGTGAGCGGTGTAACCGTGAAGGGTTCTACTTCGGGAAGTTCGAATTTCTTGTTTAACTCTCCTCAAAGAACCCTGTTATGTTTGTCCCGCAGGCTGAGGGGAAGGTCAGGACTGTCTTTAAGGTTCATGATTATGAGAGAATTGTCATGAACCATTATCGTCTTTCGAGGTTAAGGACCATGTTCTTTGGAGTTCGAAGTGGGTTTCCGATTCCTGTGCTGGGGGTAGACTGTGCGGCTAAATCGTCAGATGATTTTCCTGCAGTTCTTAGGACATTCAGCTTCTTAGACGGTGATGGCTGGCCTTTTTTGACTTTGGTAACAGGGTCCAACCACACACAGAATTTTTAGGAACCACTGTTGCATTTGGGGACCCTGTGCTGGGAGACCCAAGTCCGCTGAGAAAGTCTTTTACTGTCGACGTTATGATGATGGTGAGTTTCATCATGTCATCACTAGTGTTATTACGTGCTCCATCGATAGTGGCGATGTCGAGATCCCTCGTCTTGTTTTCATTGCGCGTCCATGTTTGTCTTCTTGTTTTGTGACTGTCTTTCTTCGAGCTTGTTGACAACTTATTCAGCAGACCTATCAATAAGACAGTGACGTTTCTCGGCAAAAATTCAGCATCCGTGTTGCACATGACACATACCCACCCATGATCCGAGTTACTTAGTCTGTTTTAAGCAGTTGCTGTGAGGTATGTGAACGCCTCATTGAACCAACCTTTGCAGTTGTCGCACTGCATGCAAGATGTAACGGCATCCAGGTCGTTTGCATGAATTTTTCATGACTATATTGACATAAAACGTTTTGTAGATGCTAGCAAAAGCCTAAGACTGTAAAAAATAGTACACTTAAAGTGAGAGAAAATGGGTAAAAACGTTTTGCGATAAACTGAATCTAGCCTTTACGTGGAAAACTGAAAAAAAACCGAATAGTAAGCTTAGGCAAAACCACAGTTGGCTATTCAGTTGTGTAAAATTAAAAAAAGTATTCTACCGAACGTATAGCTCAGAGTAGATTTGTGGTGGTTCCCAAACAAAAGGAGCTTATACAAAATATATTGATACACTAGGTTGATAATGATATACCCAGAAAATTAATAGTAAAAACCCGAGATGTCTGTTTGTTAGTAAAAACCGAAGGTAATAAAATACAGTTGGAAATACAAAAGGTATATTAAACAAACAGACAATAACAGTTACTATAGAATGAATGTTACTTGTGAGCTGCTTCGTGAGAACAACAACCACAAACTGAGTTCACTTGATTGAAAGGTGTTCCTTTGCAAGTGACTGCATTAATGACGTAATGAGGAAGACGGAGTCCAATAGTATTATATAATAGTAATCCGCGCCAAAGGTCCAACGTAGAGTCGGAAGGCATAAAATGATGTTATAATACCATTATAGTCTTCAATCAAAACGGTGGCCAATAAAACAGAAGAACAAACGGCGTAGATAGCGTTCCATATTTTAACCAACGCGGTAATAAAATCGTATATCATTCATCGAAACAATTATCATAGTCTTTTTAACAAGTGATACAGCAAAACAACAGATATTGAATAAAAATGTGGTTACAAATAAAGTGTGACAAATTAGAGAAAAAAATGTGGTTTTTATTTTGTTGTTACAGAAATCACTGAATATAAGTCACCATAGATTCTATAGATCGGAAACGGCACTTTTGTTGAGTAAAAACACAGTAAAAGATTGAGAAATTCAAATCACGATAGGACTAAACGTCCCGTTCAAAAAGCGCGCGATGACAGTTTCACATAGCCGCTAGCCATTTTAGATTAGTCACTTCTCAATATGTCGGTATTCTATCAAATATGTCTTTGAGCCTCTCCGCTTCTGACTTCTGATCTCACTGGTTTGGCACGTTTCGATCACAGAATTTGGCACTGGTTAAGGTGTCGTCAAACTACGAATATATGTGGCATCTTTACACTGAATTTATAACTCGGCTAACTTCAAAATTTATCCCAAGTTAACCAATCTGTAATTCATCTAACTGAAGATAAGGCGCGTAGATTTTAGCTTAGCCAAAAGGTACATTGTGTTCATGGTTAGAAACAAACAAACGAAAAGCAATTTAAAGGCTCAATAAGTACAAAGAGGGCTCATCCATTCAATAATTAAGCTAACACAAAACAATCAGCAACTACAGAAGCATAAACTATAGGAAGTCTGATGATTGGAACTAGTGGTTAAAAGTGTTAGGCGCCGTTATTGTATTATGCGCTCCGAAGGACTCTGCAAAAAGGAGGACATTCTTGAGTGTGTAAATGGAAAGGCAGATGACAAAAAACTGCGACACTTTTCAATCAGTCGATATGGGTTAGTGGATAACGATGTTAGAAAAGTTGTATGGCCAATTTTAGTGAGAGGAAATTGCGAACTACCAGATATAGGTAAAGTCAATACTCAGTGTGTAAACCATTTCATGTCATGTATATTTTGAAATATGAATAGCTTTCGTTCGGAGTTTGTTCTATGAACTTCTAGGCTTGTTCGGCTTTTACCTCGAATCGTAGGTGACTTCCTATAACTCCATATTTTAATCAAATGTAAAGTATATTTAAAATTGTAGTTTGCATCTAGTCTTATATTTCGTAATACGTCATAGTCTTCATACCGCTTAGCGTATATCAGATTACAATTTTTTCGAGTTCCATAAGATTTAACTTTTGAAAGTTTGGTCACCAGAATTCATAGGGTTTCGTCCAAAATCATTTAGTCTCCAGTCTACAGTAATAAGGATATTAGGTTGGTTAACCCGTGTTATTCCTGACAGATAGGCTTCCAATGAATGTCCAGCTTTTCTTTGAGAATATTCACTGATGGGGCTAGTACCACTTGTTTGGGTAAGGTTTCCCAGTCATTGACTACTCGGGACCCCACTCTAAGTTTCTTAGATCGCGGCTTGTGAACCTTCTTGCTATGACCTCGAAGATTATTAGTGCTGGAGGGAGCAAAAAGATAAGATATTAACACCCAAATCACAATTAAAGATACGAAATGTCAGTATAAGGTCACCTCGCGTCCTACGATAAGACAAGGGGAGAAAGTTTGGGTGTTTTAAACGCTCTTCGTAAGGGAGTTTAAAAGGACCCTTCACTAATTTTGTTCCCACACACTGGACACGTTCAAGTGAGTTGGTATGCTTTACCAAACATGAGCCATTTCAAAAGAAGTTAAACCCCTTCTTAGTTTAATTATTTGGAATCTAGAGGAGTCGAAGGACAATGACCCTTCTAAAAGACATGCACACGATCTGCAGTTAGTGGAATTTGTGATCAAAAATTTACTTCCTGAAGAGGTTTCAGGGGTACATATCACGAAATTAATACGACTCGGTGAATGGGTTGGAGGTGAGACCCAACCAAGAAGGATCTTGAAGTTGGTTCTCGGGAATTTTGAAGAAAGAGATATAATATTGAATAACGCACAAAAAACTCGTGATTCAAATATTCATATCCGACCAGATTGGCCGCTTAAGGATCAAATTAATTGGAAGAGTGCTCTTACGGAGTTAAGAACTCGAAAGTTAAGTGGTGAAACTAACCTTACGATTAAGGGTTTTCGGGTAGTCAGATCTTGGAAGCCAAAGCAAAGCATTTGACAATGTTTCACACTTAGGTTTTATGCAGAAGCTCTCGGGCTTCGGAATAAAAGGTTCTGTACAGGAGTAGATAGGAAACTTCTCATGTGACCGCAGACAGAGAGTGAGGGTCAATGGAACGCCATCCGACTGGAAGTCGGTCAAAACTGGTGTGCCCCAAGGCACTATCTTAGGCTTTCTGCTTTTCCTTCTCTACGTTAACGAGTTAAGGCTGTCGCATAGGTCGTCGACACTATTGTTTGCGGATGACGTAAAAATCTGAAGACTGATATCTATCATTATCTTTCGGCGCTCAGAGACAAGGATCATTCTTGTAATAACCGCAATTTCCTTAAGCTTCCTGTAGCTACGGAAATCTTATGTGTTGGCCCTAATTTCTCCTTATATAGAAGTAAAGCTTTTAAGCATATACAGAAACTTAGGACAATGGTTCTGAAATTGTTGAATTTAAGACGAACAACACCTGAACATATATAGGTTTTTTAGCACAATTTATATATATTTTCCTACTCCACCACTGCCTTTACTGTGACTCGTAAATATGTTATGGAGGAAAATTTTATGACCAGACGAAAACTTTGATTGTTAAAGTCAGTGGACAGAATGCAATGATATAATGTAATCGAGTGATGTTTACTCACAAGACCATATTATTAACTTAAGCCACTTGAGTGATTAGAAGTTAAGGACAAGACCTCTAGTTAGCTGAATGTTTTTTCATGTAGTAAAATGACATTCTCATATACAGAATATGAACGAAAAATAAACATAAAAGAATATTGTAAGCCGTTAGACGAAATTAGATTGTAAGTCATTCATTCACCAATCAATTAAGACTAGTGTGTTATCTTCAATGTCCGGGCATCGTATCAGATTGTCACTTATATTCTGGGTCGTTGATATTTACCAGACAGTAAATCGTACTTGTTCTGAAAATCCCTTGTATTAAGCTATTATTAAGGAATAATAAATCAGTTTGAATGATTTATTGGGATTATTTGTCCATTTCAAAATTTGAAACTTATTTTCCATGCCGGTTTATGACCTAAGAGATACTTGCTAGAACAACACATCAGCATATCTCACGTAAGAAGCGACATGAAAATATCGTGAAGAAACCGGAACAAATGGTGGGGAATAATGAGGTTAACCTTTTTGTCCCGGTATATGGCAATTACTAGTTTGTCACATAAGCATTTATAACTACTAAAAATCAGGAACTTCTTGACTACTTGCGTCCAAGGCTAAGTGGTTGCGCATAGACCTAAAGATGCCACAGGTATTCAGAGTTTGACAGCGCCTTTACGCGTAATACCTTTATAATCGAATTATGCAACTCGATTAAAAGCGTTTGGTCTCAACTAGTTAGTAGTTGCAAAAGATGCGTAGCACGGTGTACCCATTCGTGATCTGGTGCGTATGCGTGACCGAGCACCTTCAGATAGGGTATGTCCAGTAAAACTAATGTGGTCAGTATCAATGTCAAAGACTTGTAGGACTTTATTTTGGGGATTTATTCACCGCTACACACCAGGCTTTATAATTGTACTTTAATATTCGATGATTTGAAATATCTTTAGGCTACTTCAAAATGTTCGTTTGCAACCTTTAGTTGACAATCCAGGTACACAACCACGCACTGTGATTTGAAGTTATCCGTTGTGTCATGAAACACAATTATTGGCCTCCAATGTATATGATTATGTTTGGGTGCCCAATTAGCGCTGGAAAAACGATCAATACGTCCTTAATATAAACAAAACTTCACTTACTCTTTATAGGTCAAAATCCCTTGCTCTTTAGAAATAGTGGGGTGTAGCGAAAGCAAACGTGCTCATAGGTAAATTTCAGGCGGAATACACCATGTATTTTGAAAATACTTGTTTCATTGAATAAAGATCTAGTTAGTTGAAGGACCAGAGTGTCGTTTCCATTGTTATGATATACATCATCACAACAAGCGAAACTTGAGTCATCAGGTGAAATTCTTTTATCTTTTGTGCTTTACAGTTTTTACACACTGGTTTCGTTTGTGAACTTGAGAAGTACATTTGGGTATTTACTTGTTAGTTTATCTTTTTATACTACTTTTATGCCTTCATTCGTCAGTAAGATAAGAAAACTCGAATCAGTCAGCTACTGGTTAAATTTCAAAAACCTAAACCGATAAGTTGCAGCTCCAGTTTTTTATGAAACTTAATCAGTAAAATCCCTTTATATATTTTGGGTTTTTCTAAGCGAATATTTCTTAAACTTAAGAAAGCACTATTGATATATCTATTTGATGAATTTGAAGTCCTCACACTCATTAATTAAAACTCGATGAAGTGCTTTATTTCCATGTTTCTAAATTGCTTAATTTGGTAGTATTTGTAGTTTGGAACCAGCAAATTAATTTATACTTGATTGACAAAGTAAATATTCAAGTTCCTTATTTACTGCCTATGGTTCTTGGTTGTTTACTGTCAACTGTTACTTTTTTATGATTTTTTGAATGGTAGAAATTACTATGTCTATATATGCTTATGATGCTAAGAAAGATTTGCAAGTTTCTTTCAATATATCAACTGTAGCATCATAATAATCCACTTTATCATACTTTTCAGCATCATTTAGTTTAAGTAAATACATCCTATATGTAAAACAGGTTCATATATATGACCTTCGTTCCATCTTTTTTAATTTTCAAAGTTAGACCCGGAAACGGTAAAGCACCATCCAAGCTATCATCAAGTTAAATTGGACACATGTCGTATGACAAGTTTAATGCCTAAGGACTCAAATCCCGAAGAAATTGAAAGTACACAACAAATTGTTACTCGTCTAGTGATTTCTGTATTAGTGGATAATCCTTCTTTACATTATTATCAGGTACGTGTAAATATACCTATGTATATTGGTCTTTGCTGCTTAAATTTAAGGTGGCTTATATTTATATAAGATTTTTAGTCATCTAATTGGTTACCAGTTTTTACACTAATTATTTCATTAAATGGCATGTTTAAGAATATATGTTCCTTTAACTGTAGTTGGCAATATGAAGTAATTAATATATCACAATTTGTTATTAGCACACGACCCATTAAATGTTTTTCTTATTTGCTTCCCTATCTAGTTACAATCCAAAAATGTTATTGACCATTAAATTAATTACGTGTATTTTACATATTACTTTCTAACTACATCAAGTAGAACTCTATACCGTCAATATGCACTACATTTCCTGAATTTTTCCATAAAAATAAATGAGGTTTTCATCAGCATCTCATCATATGTATTTCAAATCCTTAACTTAAAATCTAACTTGTTGTAATTATTACTTTAGTTTCGTTGGGGTATTTCAGTTATCCCTCTAACATAATGTGCGTCATATTTCAGCAATTTGTGGCTGTTTTCTTTTTTGAACTTGGTACTTGGGATTTTTTTGGAACATGCAAGTAATGGTAGCAAATGATTGATTTCACTCCTTCTGAACTGTCTGACTCTTTGATCCATAGCAGTTGGTCTGTTCCGGACCATACAGTTAGAAGTACAATAAAATATACCTGTATAACTATCAGAATAGTAATGATGATTACAATAAGATTATTAAATATATTTATTAGAAGTGATTTGATAGTGATAGCAAGTCATTTCGGTCTAGAAATTTAGTCATGAAAATGGTTTTATGATAATTAAAGCTTAGAAACAACTGTATAATCAATTTAACTGACCAAAAATTGAAAGATAACACACAGTTTCAGAGTAGAGAATTTTACAGCCTTCGGTGAGATTTCCAAACTGGCATTTTAGACAGAGTAGTGGAAGTTTATACTGTTCCTATTAATAATACGAAGTTTATTATTACCATTAGCATACCAGTATTGAATCAGTGAAGTTAATTCTTTCAAGATATTATTTCACGATAAATAGGAATACACGGAAAAGGCATATGTTATGATTCAGTTGCAACTATAAATCGCTAACCATACTAAATGTTTTACCAGTAACAAAATAGAACCACAATAAAGAAAATCGTTGAATGTAACAGATTATTTGCAAAGTATGTTGTAAGTTCAGGAAATGATTTATAATTCTCATAAAACTGTCTATGTATGATATTACTTCATGATTTTTATTATAATTGTTGTTGACAAATTTAGATCGAATATTTCTCGTTCAACATGTTTTTAACTTTGATTATATTCTAACGCTTTTTTGACTATTCAGTTTGTTTTACTTCTGCAATAGAATTTATTCATTTTTCATCTTTGATTCTCATCTTTATTTTTAAGGGTTTCCATGATATTTGTTATGTATTCTTTTCCGTTTTGGGTGAAAGAGAATCTCGAATGTTGCTGAATAAATTGATCCCAACTCATTTCAGGTAAATATTCATACAGAGAATTATTGCAAATATTTTTCATTGTTCCTTAATAATTAGATGTTTTGTATTGTTGCTACGTTTAGACAAGTTTTGATACAGGATGACGGTGTTTCAGGTTTGATATCATAAATAAGTACGTAACAGGTAGCGACCGTGAGCAGTGGTGGGCAACGAAAGCAAAATACTTGGAAAAGGCAGCGGCTGTAAGTAACACCAGACAGCTCTACAGACAAATAAAACAAACAAATTAAGAAGTCAAATGTAAGTGAAGCGACCTCGGAAAAAGACGACACTATTATCTGCTCTCAGCCCAGACGTTTAGAACGATGAATGGAACACTTTAAGGAGCAGTACAACTGGCCTTCAGCTACTCTCTAACTACCGATCATTCCCAGATAGCTTGAATGGAACATTGAAGTAGGTCTCCCGACTCTATCTGAAGTTCGAAAGGCTATAGTTAATCTGAAACGAGGAAGAGCAGCAGGTCCAGATGGATTGACTTCATATGTCTCTAAGTATAGTGGTTCAGTTTTAGCGATCAGGTTGATTAATATTTTATCTAAAACCTGGGGATTTGACGTGATCTCATCTGACTGATCTCAATCACTGATTGTCCCAATATATAAGAATGGGTCAAAATCATCCTGTGATAATTATAGAGGGATTAGTTTGACTAATATAGCATCTAAAATACTAGCGTCGATAATTATCGGACGTCTAATAAAGACTCGTGAACTGGAAACACGAGAAAGTTAGACTTGCTTGAGACCTGATCGTGGTTGCATTGACCACATATTCACCATTCGTCAGATTTTAGAACACAGACATGCTTGTCGATGTCCGACAATGGTGGTCTTTCTTGACTTGAAAGCAGCATTTGACTCTGTAGACCGAGAGGTTCTGTAGCAGTGTCTGTCATTGAAAGGTGTACCTCAGAAGTACATAAATCTTGTACAGGCTCTTTACTCGCACTACTAGTCGAGTGAGAGCTTATGGTGAACTGTCATCTGTTTTTGCAATCTTGAGTGCCCCCAAATGCCCTGGTACGGCCGAGAGTGGGGTGGGCCCTTCCTCCCTCTCGAAATACTCTCACACGGCCACGCGTATATAGCCTCTGCCAGGGAAGTCCTACTCACTGCCTTCTCGTGGCGGGGGTGTTGTTTACGAAATTGAGAGGACGAAAAGCGAATGTCCGGCGCTTTAACCGGATTCCAAACCAATGGTGCACATGGGCTCCAGTATCCTGAGGGAACAAATGGCGAATAAACCAATTGTTGGTCACCGGCTTCCATGGGACTGCATCTCCTTACGATGCTCCACTGCCTTGTGGATCAGACCTTCAGGTCGAAGGCTCAGGGTGTGGCCTCCTAAGAAAACCACCTGCTTCGGTTTGGGCATCTGGGCAGTATCACAGCCCTCACACATATCGAATGAGATTCGTGTGGCGCATATGTATTTGGTGCCTCTTTGTACCATTATCTATGTGTTGAAATAAATAAATAAATAAATTTGCAATCTTGAGTGGTGTCCGTCAAGGCTCAATTTCGTCATAGTCCTACTGCTGATATTACATTCTCGTTGTTTGAATTTTTGGGAACTGATCTCCTACCAGGAGGTCCACTTATCGACTTATAATACGCAGATGACATAGTCCTGTTTGGTGAAGACGCTGATAAAACGCAGTCTTTTGGTAGCACTGAGCAACAATGACAGAATTTTTTATATGCGTTGCTCCCCATATAAATGCAAATTGTTGCTTCAGGACTGGCCTGCATCGACAACTGTGTAATGAAGCGAAAAAACAGGTGAGGACAACCGAATTATATTTAATACAAGATTACCGAGTTATTTAGTAAAATAAAAAAACCATAGTACAATACTTAATTTGAAAAATTTTCATTTATTGTCTCAGACTTCGTTGTTCCTGCATTTCCATACCAACTATTTTCTATTCCCGTTCTTCCCGTTTTGATCCTAATTTTCTGCTGCCAGACATTATACTCCCGACTCGCGTCGTTTACTACTTATGTCAATATAAGTAGTACACTCCACACTCTTCCCCCTTTTACTATGCTGTTCTCGCAGTTTTTCCGATCTCCGTACCGCTATCTTGTTTGGTGCTGTTCGTGACTCGCACTCATGATAATCTTGAAACCATTTCTGCAGTTGACTGGCATTTACGCGCTTCCGTTTGTCTTCTCTCCGGATCGTGTAAACCGAACTACGTCTCTCCATGACAGTGGTCTGTTCTTCCCACTTCGAAATAAGCTTTCCTGACTCTGATCCCCGTGCTAATTTATTTTTTTTGTTCTCCACACTTTACCAGGTCCACCACTGCAAAAGGCTTCCACGTCCACCTCTGTTGTTCTGCCTTCTTTGTGTCTGATATTTGTTTCTTTTCCACATTCCTTACTGCCACCCTCCTTTCTTTTCTTAACATTGTTTTCGTCCACTTCTGTTAAGCGGGTGTGAAAACACGGCTCACGTATTCCACCACTCTATCAGACTGACTCAAGACGGCACCTATACCATGATCACTTGCGTCTATGGTCACTGTAAACGGTTTCTCGGGTTCAGGCAGTCTGAGTGTTATCTGGCGGTCGTCTAGCATGTTTTTGATTCAGTTGTACGTTTGTTGGGTGGTCTCAGTTCAAGTAAACTTAGTGTTGCTCAACAACCTATTTATTTATTTATTTATTTATTTGAACACAAATATTGATATAAGGGGGCCCCAAATATATATGCGCCACACCAATAACCTATATAGGGGTACTGCTATTTCTTTCTTGACGAACCAACTGTAGAATGCTGCCCTTCCCAAGAACTGTTTCAATTTCCTTTTAAAATTAGGTACTGCAATGTTCTTTATGGTTAGAATTTTCTCCGGCAGTGGTTTTATTTCTCCGTTTCTCACTTTATGCCCCAACAACGTGACGCTACTTTTCGCTATCTTATCAATTTCAAGTCCAAATTCTTCAGTTCGCTTTAAGACCACTTCCACATGCTTGACATGATCTGTTTCTGTCTGGCTGTACACAACTACATCGTCGCCATGCACCTCGACGTTACCTAGATCCTTGAGCAGTAGCGTCATTGATCTTCTGAACCTAAATGGTGCACCCACCAACTCGAACGGCACTCGTCTAAATTGATACTGTTTATCACGTCCAGTAAATGCTGTCTTGTTTCGATCGCTCTCTTTTATAGGCAGTTGCCAATAACCTGACCGCAAATCCAGCACTGTAAATGCCGTAGCATTCTGCAGCCGATCTAATGTTTCCTCTACTGTTGGCATTGCACAAGGTCCCAGTTCTGTTATATTATTCAGTTCTCGAAAACCGACACAAAATCTGTACTTCCCGTTTGGTTTCTTTACTATGAGTACCAGCGAGCTATACAAGCTGTCCGCTTCCTCAATTAGACCTCCTTTCAACACCTCCTGAACCTGTCGATTTGTCTCACCCTCTAAATACAAGAGACGCGACGTGTTGCAAATATACTTGCTCGATCGTTCTTTATCGGGATTTCGTGCTTTAATTTGTCACAAAATCCGTACGGCCATCCGTCTCCAGTAAACAGTTTCGTATATTTTGTGCACAACCCATTAATGTTTGGTTTCTTCGTCGAAACATCCATTGCCACTTATCTCAACCACTTCGCTAATTTCATGTATTGGGAATGAACCATACTTTGTGACCACCTTACGGCTTCTTAAGTCAACTATTGCTTTTGCTTCTCTCAGGTAGGCTGCTCCTAATGTCGGTCTCGATAGACTTGTGATTACTACGAACGGGAAATTTATCTCAGCACCACCCACTTTTACGGTACTGTTAGACACACCCAACACCTCTCACATGTGCCCTCGAATGGTGTGAACTGCTAATATACACGTAGCTTGAGTCTCTTGAATTGCTCTTTGCCTATTAACGAAACTGCTGCCCCTGTATCGATCAGACACTAAATCTCGTTCATTTATGTTCACTCTTGTGTAGAATACCCCTCTATCTACTAGTGCAACAACCCCCAGATTTCTAGGGTAGAAAGAACACTCGTGGTAACGTTTAAAAATCTACGTCTTCGTCCTGTTGGACAGTTTATCTTTCAATGTCCTGTCCCTCCACAAGCGTAACAATTATCATTCCTTTTATGATTCACTCGTATTGCCGCAATCTCACGCTGCAGCTCCTCAATCTTCTCAACACTATTTGTTTCCTGACTTCCGCACCCAACCGGAGCTACTGTTCGGGCCACCTTCACTAACTCATTGATATCCATAGGTCGTGCGGCGTTTGCTAGTTTAAGCTGCTGGGAAGTGGTGACAGTCACGCTTTCGATAAACTGCGACGCCAACAGCTGTGCCTCCGACTTCTCATCCAGATTCGGCAGCGCGCGGCGCAACAACCTGGTAAGCTCCGCAGCCAGCACCAGTGAGTCACTATCAATCGACAGCTTCGCTAACCGGAACTTCTTCAGTGCTTCTTCCCTGTCTACTGGACTGACGAACCCCGCGATCAACCGCTCCGTGACCGCCTTCCATGTTGTCTTCCCGTCAACACTGAACTTACGAATTAATTCTTACTTCCTGTACTATATCCTTATACGCAATCTTTCTTTTATATATTACTGTCATTGAAGTAACTACTATGGATTAGGTGTTTATCTTGTTGTCTTAATGAGGTATGGCGAATTGGAACGATGCATATATATGCCTGGTCCTACGTTGTAGCTGACTGACTGATTGAACAGGTAGCGGTTTATCATACTTCATATGAACATTTTGGAGAGAAATCTGAACAGTGAACTAAAGTTGTTTAGAATTGGACATTGGAATATTGTAACATTATGATGTGTGTGGATTAGTAATTTCTTAATAACGTTAAGTGTGTAAAGCACAAAGATATTACATCACTTTTTTTAAACGGCTTATATCATCCTTTTATTTCCATACTACACTGTATCAATAACTATTTATGTAGTTATCAGGTCTTATGTTATATATGTTTTAAGAAAACCTAAATGTTTTTGTGCTATTTAGATACTTGAAATTTATTATTTACTGAATAAAATAGGGGTGTGGTTGATAGTGGTAGTGGTGAGGAACCATTTACATAGGTTTAAAATGAATTGCTAATTCGTGAAGGTTATTAGCCTTTAGATTAAGTATCATGGTTACATATATGTTAACCTAATGACTGGAGACCACGTGGTAACAAACGCCAACGCCTGGGAACATTTAGAGGATTCAGGTGGAAATAAAGCAGTTGTATTGTTGAACACATAAAAATATTCACTCGTTTGTTTTATTTTTCAAGTAGTGTTGGGCTAGTTCATGATGTCTGCAAAGCATTGCTGTCCATCAGTTAGAAATCTTATAGGTATAAAATAATTTAACTTCTTTCAGAATTCGGAACCCAGATCATTTGAAGCACTTTTATGTACAGATGCAGGAGATTAGTGTGAAACTGAAATGTCTCTGGTCGGTCAGCTTTATCGTTAGATTTTGTAGACACAGATTGATTTATCTCTTCACCTATGTGAAGACTTGAGATCAAAATGTAAACCGTAATTGAGTTTTAGCCATGAATAAAAAGTGTTCATTAGCCTAGAGTCATTAAGAACTTCATTTGAATTCTATTGATACTTTTTGAATGGGCTTACAGAACTTGGAAGTAGTATGGTCAAATTATGGGGATGATACATAGCAATAATAACTAACGACCTGAAAATGTATAAAGCTTATAACTGGTAACTCGCTAACCATAACTAAATTAAATTTGCCTTATTTAATGTTGATTAATTAAGCAGATATATTGTAGTTTCATGTAAAAACTTTTCTAATATATGAGTAATGTTTGTTAAAATAAACTTACAGAATAACCTTAAATAGTTAGATAGGATTATAAGTCAACTAAATGTCATGTAGTATATTTGTCTAAATGTTTTATGAGTTTTTTTACGATAGCTATTGATTAATTTTTGTTTTTAATTTACATTCTCCATAGTTTGTTCATGCAGAAATCTATGGATGTAACTCTCGAATACATGCAATTGATATTCGCCTTGTTAGAACATGTTTCAACTTCTGTACTGAATAGTATCGAATCTGTTGAGTTAGGCCCAGATTTCGCTATCGCTTGGATTATTACTTGGTTTGCTCATGTTCTACCTAATATGGATGATGTCAGACGCCTGTTCGATTTATTTTTAGCAACAGATCCTATCATGTTGGTTTACGTTTCAGTTGCTGTGAGTTTGCATTATTAAAAAAATGGGATATCGAAGTAGATTTCACTACTTCTGTAATGTAATAGGATATTAAAAAGGTGGATAATAAAAAGTTGATATATCTTTCCCCAGAATTTTCTTTATGGATTCTATTCTGGAAAGTTACCTCATACTACCTTGTGACCTTTTGTTATAATTTCTCTTATTACGACCTAGTTATTCCTATTGCTCAGTAATCTTGGACACAAATTCACTCGACAAATCCTTAAATCAGAGCATGGTTAAACAGGAACTGAATTACATTCCAAATAAAAAAGGTAGATGAAAGTAAGAGTTAAAATAAGAAAACCGCTAGTATATTTATAGTTTTTGCACGAGAAGATTCTAGAGTCTTTCTCAAGTATCCACTATCGCTGATTGGATAAGAAATAGCCAGACTACTTGGTTGGGGTCTGCGCGACTATCGTAACCAATGATTAGATATCCTGGATGACATGGCTCAGAATCGATCACAATGGGGTCGGTGTATACACTCGCTGTCTTCCCTTAAACTAAGAGATTAAAATCACTTCATATCTTTCTTCCTTATATGCAATCTTTCTTTTATATATTACTACCACTGGATTAACTACTTTTATGAATCCAGTGTTCATCTTGCTGTGCTAATGAGGTGTGGCAACTTGGACCGATGCATATATGTGCCTGGTCCTACGTTGCATCTGACTGACTGAGAATCAGCGTGCCCCAACATAATACTGCACGGAACGTGCTTTAATCCAATCCATATTCCGCTAACTCCTTTAATCAAAGTCAGTTATGGATTTTTATTGTTTTTGTTTGTATTAATGACTATAATTAATGACCTTTAAAATTATTTAGGCTTACTTTCTAAATTTATCTTTATTATGGATACATAAAATTATTGGAAACTGACTCGTTTATCAATTGTTTGACATTTATGTACTGCGTTTTTATTGTATACAGACGAAATAGTTTTGTCTAATGAACACTTGAACTTTGATCCAGTTTTCTGAAAACTTGTTTTTAAAAGTTTCAAGTTGTTCAGTAATATGTGTTTGAATGTTGGCGCTAAATTTGTGTTTTAAGATTTGTACACATAAACTCACAAAGTATTTTGTATAACATCTAGAGTAAATTGTGTAATAGTGTTGAATATTTTTACATCCTGAGAGGATAGATCAGTTACGTTGGGCTGGTGATCGATATGGTTTGATGTACTCCAACTCTTGAGTTTGGGATTCATCGATATTCATTGTTATGACTAACAGTGTCCGAAGTTAATGCTGATGCAAAAACTTATGATACGCAAGCTCCCAAGCGGCTACCGATTGAGAAGACTAAGAGTGAAAGTGGAAGTTTATTGGATTAAACCGAACTCGATAAAAAAGTGCTAGTTTATATATATATATATATATATATATATATATATATATATATTCACTCCTTGGAAAATAAAACCATTTTTCGATCAATAACATCCACTCGTCATTCGGAGGTTTTTGATTGCTGCAACTTAATCTTCTCATTTAGCAGTTTTGATTACCCCACTGATCATTCGCCACCTATTCTTTATTTCACAGGTTGAAATCATGAGTCAGTTGAAGCTAGACCACCATTAAAAACCTGGAAGCACTGGACGGCCGTTTCGTCCCAGTATGGGACTCCTCAGCAGTGCGCATCCACGATCCCGCACCACACGGGGCTCGAACCCAGGACCTACTGACTTCGCGCGCGAGCACTTAACCATTAGACCACTGAGCCGGCATCCAACGGTGTTAATGTCTAACTTCAACCAATCCACGAAGTTGCGCCATCGTACACCATTGTCTTCAGTGAGCTGATATCTCACAACAGACCTGGTTGAACTCCACTGGTGACGGCTTCTTTATTTGAAGAGTTGTTAAAATAAATCAAGTATCTTGTTTATCAATCCTTACTATCTGTCAGACAACTTCAGAAAAACAATGTTGCGAAAAACCTCGAAACGACTTTAAACAATAGATTTCGTAATAGAACCCTTAAGTAGTAGTTTAGGAAGCGAGGGATAAGGTGATTTACAAAGTTTAAAAACCATTAGTTGAGAAAAGTGTAATATTTAATGAATTACAACCACCTTTGATGTGTATTGTCGAGATGAGCGAATTCTTAATTATAATCCTTTCATTGATTGTTGACTTAAGAATTGTAATTTACATGAGTTACTATTTATAGATCATTGGGAATATGACTCAGATATGAGTATTATGTATTAGAGAAAGAAATTCTCAACCAATATCATTCTTACTAAAAACAATATTAGGCTTCTTAAACATTGAAAAATCAATGTTGAAGAAAGTTTTTAGTTGATTTTCAGTCTACACTTTATACGTAGTTAGTTTTCATTTTTTTTAGTGAATTTAAACAGTTTAAATTGTTTTGTGTTATTACTAAGGTTTTGTAATTTACTGTTGTTGATATTCGGGAATGCAATTGGCCAGTTTCTATTTTGGAAGTTTACTAAAACTTGTGATATAATGCTGTATCTAGGCAGTCAGTTTAAGATTCATACATGGTAGTTGAGACTAATCAATTACAGTCCTGAATATCAACAGTGTGAACTTGCAAACCCTTATTAATACCTTTATGCTTATTGAAAAAGTTAGTGGCCATGTAGATTCAGTTGCTCAATGGACAACAAATTGTCCGTTTGAAGCTAAACACAATGATTCCAAGTTTCTGTGCAAACATTATGTATGGTAGTGAAAGTAAATATGATTGGCCACTGAGCGTGGACAAATAGGCACACAGCTTATTGGATATCAAATATGTAATTTCCTTTCATTCTATTGATATCTACCACGGACTCACTGCGAGTGATTGTTTATGATTGTGTGGAGTAGTGTTGTCTAGAGTTACAGTGGTTCTCTATTTGCAATTGTGAATCGGGTATATGGTATGATGTGATCTAATCTGTGTATAACGTGTAAATCGAGTATTCAATCCAGTGGTAGTATAAACTCGGTCACCAATCTTATCGTACTATATCGTGGAACGAGCGGAAAGATTTCCATTAATCCGTTATATCACATCAACACTGAAATTCAAGTACATCCAGTTAATTGATCCAAAATGCGATGGAACGTTCCCGCTGTATTCTATTGCTAGACACGTTCCAAGAATATAAAATGGTTGTATATTGTCTACTTTTCTGTTTTATACACTTTCCATGATTATTTTTTACTCTTTAATAACTAATAAACTATTGTTGATTTCGTCTTAAAATTAAAAATATCCCCCTTTTCATAGATAATTACTATCAGTGCCAAAGAAGTGGAATCAACACCGTTGGATTTTGCTCTTTTGTATCAAACACTTGCACGTTTACCTAAACTACATCCTGTTGAGGAGCTAATCCGTGAAGCTTTAAAAATTTACATTGATTTAGAACCAGACAAATTGATTGAATTAGGCAATAAACGTATTCTAAAATATCGTGAGCAAAAATTACTTAACCGATCACAAATAATACGTCAACCATTTTCAAAATCTACAAATAAACATATATTATGGGGATTAGTTACGCAGCATCAAAGAACTATTTTCTCTCTTAGTTTTATCGTCATTGTCATTAGTTATTTATTAAATAAAAGTTTAAAAGACTAAAAAAAAGATGAAGAAAAAACCTAGTTATTACTGTTCATAGTTATGTAATAAAGTTGATTATTTTCTAAGTTATTTTGTCAATACTTTATTCAACTTGTTCAGAAATTTCTCTATAAATATATTTATTTTTCCTTGAAAATGCGTTCAATGCAAGCTGATGTATGAAGTATGTTCACCTCTTTTATTTCAGCAATCTTTCTTCCCTTCTTTTTTTCACCCTGTTTTATGCCTTTTTATATTATGAATATTCTATGTCTATGTAGTATTGTTGGTGAATTGTAGGGTAGATAAGGAATCTGTTTGATTTTTCTCCTTAGGAAAATTTATGATGATAATAATTTGATTATTTATTTTTATTATATTTGTTTTTTTTTTGTTTTTTTTTGATAAATAAATTTATGGAACAAATATTTGTTCTGATATGATAAAAGACACATTGTTTCAACTGATTTACTAGTTTGTTCTGCCTATTAAATGAACGTAATATATTGTTACATTCAGAACTGATGTCTCCTAGAGTTGATTCTATTAATATAAAGTGCGTGATTATCTTCATGATGCAGGTGTAAATCGAGCGAATTTCATAAGCTTATTGGGTGATGAAAATATTCTTAAAACTAGTCTACACATCCTTTGACATTTATGTATTTGAACACATAAACACTGGTACAAAGGGGCACCAAATACATATGCGCTAAAAGGTCACTTGATTTGTGTGTGGGCTGTGATACTGTCCGGGTGCCTACGCCGAAGCAGGTGGTTTTCTTAGGAGGCCAACCCCCCAACCTTTGACCTAAAGGTCTGATCCACAGGGCAGTGGAGCAACGTCAGGAGATGCAATCCCATGGTAGCCAGTGACCGACTATTGGTTCATATGCCATTTGTCCTTTCAGGATCCTGGAGCCCATCTGGATCATTGGTTTGGAATCACGGTTTTCCAACTCCCCCAGGTGGATCCTCTGTGTCCACCGATCCGATTAAATCTCCGGACATAAACTCATTTCATCAACTAACTAGTTAAAAAAGTTGGAAATTAGGTCAATAAAACAGTCGATGTGAATAAATATTTAAACAGTTTGATCATACCTAGTGGAAATAATAACTGATCACTGAATCGCCTGCATAGGAATTCTTACAGATCATTTTCTGACAACACTATAAAGATCATTTTGCAAGAGCCATCATTCTGTTTTTTTATTTTATCATATCGTTTATCACTTAAAAAGTTTTACAAGAATACTCTGTACATGTGCAATATAAATTTATCAGAAGTCTTTCCTTATTCGCATTATGTGAATGGCTTCCGTCTATTTAACTTTTCGATTCCATATAATCTTTAATTGTTCTCAAATCTAATCATCCAACTTTAAAATTCACTTTTGTTTATTCATTCATCTCATTTAAAATAAATTAATGTGGTGCAAGTCAAAGATAGCTGACTTCAACATCAGTTATTTGTATACCATAAAATAAATTAAAGCGCTTTGTTTTGTACCGTACTCAATTTATGGTTATTCTCCTATGTCTACAGTTTATTTGTACTTTTTCCTTAAAAATGCATACAAGGAGTGAGGGGTGGTTCGATTATGATGTAACGTCAGCTCATGGAGTCACTGTCTTGTTTTAAGCCATGTTGATAAGTGCCGACTACTTGGTTAAGGTGTACACAATAATCACAATCAGTAGTTGACGTTTTCAAGTACAGCTCAGAATTAGTCATATTTATTCTTTTTGTTACGCTAAGTAATTCTTTCTTTTCGAACTACAATTTAAGCTAATACATATTTGCATTATATCTTGTTTTATTTGTAACTGTGATGTAAGAGGGTGACTCCAGTGACTAAAAAATATTTTGACTTATACTATTCAGTTTGTCATTATTATTCTTAAAAGCAATTTATTGTTTATTTACTTCCCTAGATTTGTCTGACATCCAGTGAACTTTAACATTTTGCTTCATACGACAATGAAATTAATCCGTATTCCATCATTTATCATGGTGACTACATTTTATTTACTATTGCTATTCTTTTTGGTGAATTCGGATAAAAATATTGTTTTAAATAACAATCCATCTGATTTTTATCAACAAATAAATGCCTGGCCAGATTTTCAATTGGCAGCATTCACTGATTTAAACGCTGATCGTCGAATGGATATTATATTTGCCAATGGCGATGGTTCAAAATTATTTGCTGTTCTACAGTCTGACAATAAAGGTTTTCAATCCACTTCACCAATACTATCTAGTGTGAAATTTTCTCCACCTGTTGAAATAATTGGTAATTTTTTGTCTAAGCCTATCCGTGGTGTTGCTACTTCTGATTTCAATGGAGATTCTCGGACTGATCTTTTACTAGTCACCGGTAGTTCAGATGGGGGACCATTTGATGTATATGTAGCTTATGGCTCAGGTGGTGAATATCGTGGGAAATTCGGTAAGTCAACAGTGATATATATTCTGTGTTATGAGGTCATATATTTTTATGATTTCTGATTCCTACACAAATCAACTTTATTGCGTCTCAAGAAAATACGAGTTAAATCAATAGACAGCAAATCTTGTTTGTGGAGGTTTGAGTTGAGAGTTTAGCCCAACTACTCATATTGATGGACTTTAAACATGACCTTTGACAGAAGAGGGAATACATGTGTTACGAGTATTTAAACTTTGATATTTTCTAAGCATTCCTCGGTTTCAATGGAACAGCGGAGGGAGCAACACCAGAATTAGGTATTTTGGGTCATGGTAAAGATGGTCGGTTGTGACGATGCTGTGATTCTTCATTGAGTTAGGTAGCTGTGACACATGCTATATCCAATCCCCCTCTACGTCGACTAGCTATACTGACTGCGGTAAGAGTATATTGAATGGAAGATAGTAGTAATGAAACTAAAATGTGGCATCAGCCCATGGAATCACTAATAGGTTTCAGCTACCGGCTTCAAGTTAAAAATTAGGTGCTATAGTACGAAATCCTTCTTCTTGAGGCAAATCGATTTAATTCATATCCCCTCTTAAGTCCATAGCTTTCTTTACAGTTAATAATAGTTTATATAAAAGAATAAATTTATCTCACTTTACCTAAATCAAAGTCCAGTCTAGAACCTGGTTACGTGGCACACACATGCCATAGTATGGCCTAGAGTGGAGAGAGTCAGCTCTCTCTCTCTAAATGCTCTCACATGGCTACGCGTATACAGCCACTATCAGGAAAGTCCGACTCACTGCTTTCTCGCTGTGGGGTTGTTGTTTACAAAATTGAGAGGACGAAAAGCGAATGTCCGAAACTTTAATCGGGTTGGTGGATACAGAGGATCCACCTTGGAGAGTTAGAAAACCCTGAATCGAAACCAATCGTGTGAATGGGCTACAGGATCTTGAGGAAACAAATGGCGTATGAATCTATTGTTGGTCACTGGCTACCATAGGACTGCATCTCTTGACGTCACTCCGTTGCCCTGTGGATTAGATCTCTAAGCCAAAAGTTCGGGGAGTGGCCTTCTAAGAAAACCCCCTCCCTCGGCTTTGGCGCCCGTCTAGTATCTCAGACCTCACACAAATCGAATGACTTAGTGTGGCGCATATCTGTTTGGTGCCTCGGTTACATGTGTTGTGAAGATTAATGTTATTTCTTGGCAGTTTGATTACAGAAATTTAGATGAACAAAATGTTAATATCTTGGGCTGTTGCCAGATGAGTTAGAAGGTACCCTGCATCAAGTATAAATTCATATCGCTACACATGATATGATTTATCTTCATAAAGGTATCATGCTTGCAACAATTCCTGCATTTGCTAGGTCGATCTCGTTTGTAGTTGTAGGTATGCACTGGATAGGAGGAGGAATTAGCACGAAATATCCAATTTTCCGCAGTATAACTAGGCTATAGATACCGTTTAATTTTCTTGTGTGTCGGTTGTTTGTAACATTTTTGACAGGAAAAAGCTTATTCGCTCCAAAATGTTTACATGAGGGTTAGTTTTTTACTTATACTTATAGTGTACGTTGAATTTGGATGTATGGTAATACCATATAGTTTATTATTTCATTATAATTTATATTAGACTTTTAATTACCTGAGTGGAGTGGTGGTACAGCTCCAAATTCACTGCATATACTTCATTCTAGGCATCCAAATATTAAGTATGATTAGCCCTCATACATATAGTGTAACTTAAAGCAAAATACATCGGTTTGTACTTCATTGGTGAGTTACATCTAAGTATTTGAACAACAAATATTCCTCTACTTTAATTTTGTCTTATCATGTTATCTCTTTTTCTAAGTAGATTAGATATTTCACCAAAAATCTGAATTTTTCATTGTTGTACAAAGTTCGTGAGAGATTTCACTTATTTTCCTGATTGAAGAGAATTTACAACTACATTTTTCTTTCTTAAAATAGTTTACTTTAAAATGTTAAAGATAGACATGACTTCTAATGTTGTTACTTTTTAAAAAATTCCTAATGAATGTTCAGGTTCACCAAAATTTTTGGATACTTTTACTTCTCAACCATTAGTATGCGATTTAAATTCTGATATGATTGCTGATGTATACGGTGAAGTGTCAGGACATCGAGTAGCATATATAGGCGGGTATGTTAATTTCTTGATTTATTTGTTTGTTCTCCGAGTATAATCAAAACTTTATTGTCAACTGGATCTTAAAAGGTTTAGCTTTTTCATCATCCCAGTTTTTTTATTAATGTATAATTTTAATAGTTGAATTCATGAGTCGATCTAAGCTAGACAACCATTGAAAACCTGGAGGCATTGGACGGCCATTTCTAACTAGTATGGGACCTCTTAGCAATGCGTATCCACGATCCCACTCTCGGGACTCAAACCCAGGACCCTCGGTTTCGCACGGAATGCTTAACATCTGGACCACTGGTCCGACATTAAACGGTGTTAATATCTAGTTTAAATCGATCCACAATCTTGCGCAACCCTTCACCTATTGTCTGAAGTTAGACATCTGCACCATCTCATT